CCGTCTCAGCAGGGCACAAGCGCAAGCGCCTGCTGTGTATACAAGCCCGCTACGCTGGAGTGCTAGCCGGGTTGGCCTATTCCTTTGGTAGGCAGGGGCTTATTTAGAGTTTTTGACGTTAACTCCCGATTCTTAAACCGCATGCAGCTAATGAAGAGCAGTCCTATCACACTCTCTTCCACGCCGCCATCAAGAGGGCAGGGGTGCTCGGGAAGCGAAATGCGGGCTTGCCTACCCTCTCCGTCTGGGATCAGCTATATTGCTGCAAAGGTTTACTGGAGCTTGCAGGGCTCCAGTGAGAAGTGGTGAGGGTAGGGGCTTCTGTCGGTTTAAGACGTTGTGGCCGGTCTGACCACATTGTGGTCATGGCCAAATGTCCCAACTGCCGACGTGTCCACAATGTGGGCCTTTTTTTGTTCAGTGTTCAAAGATTTTAAGAAATCAGGGAATTGGCCTAGAGGGCTTCTCTCTTTGGCTTTCGGTTGCCTTTCGGTAGCAAAAACCTGGCAGAATTCCAGGCAATTCCAGGTTATAGGTCAGGCGGCTCCTTCAGGCCCTTCCAAGGCAGTGACCACAATATGGACAGCCCGGCAGCAAGGACCGGCGGATTTGAGGGGCTGCCGGTCGCATGGGGCGGCGGTGGAAATGCCCACAATGTGGTCAGCCCGGCAGAAGGGAAGGACAGCGGTCCTCGCCATGTCCACAGCGTGGCCCGGCACACGGGGCAGTCAGGACCATGTTCACAATGTGACCAGCTCGGCAGCTGGGACTGTCGAACCCCTGCCCACAATGTGGTCAGCTCGGCGGGTGGGACAGGCGCTTCGTGCCCACAATCTGGCCAGCTCGGCAGCAGGGACCGACACTTCATGACCACATTGTGGTCAGACCAGCTGGTGGGACCGGCACTTCATGACCACATTGTGGTCAAACCCGCTGGAGGGACCGACGCTACATGGCCACAATGTGGTCAGACCGGCAGTGGGGACCGGCATTTTATGACCACAATGTGGTCAGGCCGGAGGGAAGGACCGGCATTTCATGACAACAATCTGGTCAGACCAGGAGGGACCCGAGTCGACTAGCTCTGGCGTGTTGTGGGCCGGCGCACCGTCAGTCGCTAGCAATGCAACGCCATACAGCTGGTCGGTTCACGACCCTCTGCCCGAATAGACAGCCGCCGGGCAGCTGGTATGGGTGCCTTGCGTACCTCTCTCGCTAGCACCTGACGAAATGGTGGTAGGCAGCGGATCTCTGGCTTTGCTGGGGGGGGGGGGGGGGTCGCCTACCTCACACCTATCGGCTGCCCGGCGGGTCCAAGCTGGGCGGGCCAGCAGTACGCGGCCAAGTCCCAGCCCAGGTCCCAGAGCCCAGGCCCAGCAGGGCCCCCACTGACCCCGATGCTCTGATACACGGTTGCCGCTGGCCGTGGCCGAGCCTTCCCTACCGTGGAACTCTTTTGAGCCTCCTGACCACGATGTAGTGAGGGGCTCCCTACATTACACTGCTCCTGACCCAGAAGGGCTCCGAAGGCCCCGACCCAGGGGTGGTTCAGTCGGGTACCCCCGCCTTCCGACCGCCAAACTGGCCAGTACACGCTGGAAACGACGTGCTCTTCGCTCTTCGTATTAAAAGGTCAATACATAGGCTTTGTTCGTGTTAGAAAGAAGACACCAAATCCTTTGTACGTTAGGAAGAGCAGTTCTTTGTTACAATGTTACAGTGAACGTATCGTTCGTAGAAAGTACATTCATCGGTTTTTCTCAGATTAATTCGGCAAATTACAGAAGCTCGGCGCCTGCGAGACTGAGGGTAGGCCACTCCGCAGTACACGCCTGCAACACTTGCGAGATGTTGCCTATCTGCCAGGCGCTACGAGCTTGCAGAGGCCTAACAAGGCAGTTTTGTAACGAGAATAGACGGTCGTACATTGTGAACGATCCCTAAACCGTAGACCAGAGAGAGATTTAGAGTCTGAGGGCGGGATAAGGAGTGTGTGTGGTTGGGGGGG